TGTGTGTGTTAAATACAGAAATGGGACACATAACTGAGAGTGCGCCTTTTAGTCCGGTGCGCCTTATGGTCGTGAAAATACGGTAGATGAATTACATTTTAAAAACAATATATTGTATGACTTTTGTGACAGCATCTGAGATTAAAATAAATTTTAACCTTACCGCATCAGATGATCCCAGGGAATATTTTCGACTGACTCTGCGCTTCACAACCTGATAATCTGACAAGGAAAAAAGCCATTAGGTAGGTTTGAGACTCTGGGCTCGGCCGATATATTTCTTTCAGAAGGAAGCATACATACCACTCTCATATCTGTCTGGCAAACAGGAAGCTGTAACAGAAGAGAAAGAAACAGCTTGTTTGTTACCGTCTTTTTGAACTGAGCCAGTCTGAATTTTATATTTACTTTTCACTTACAAATTCACAGTGGAAGAAGGAAATGTATTTCTAAATGTAAACTGTCATTTGTATTTAAGGCATTTGACCTCCTTTAAAACCAACAGCTAATAAACACCTAACGAAATGGTTTGATAAACCTGTTTATCGTGCTCTGCAGAAATGATCTCAGTAAAATTTTGCATTTAAGAATAATGCAATCATTTAAAATCTTGAGAAAACAAGCCCTTTGAAAGAGATATTTAAGTAAAACTGAAATTAAAGCAAGAAGACATAAAACCTGTTAATGAAACCTGTGTTGATGACATAATATTCACATTTTATAGTTTTTTTTGTTCTCATAGCCAATAGAATTCTATGCTTTAATCAATTATTGTATTTACAATCATGTAATTTATAACACCTACTTTTTGGGGATTTCAGTAAAAGACAATAAATATTTATTTAACATAAACTAAAGCTGATTTAAATTTTTTTCATAGCCGGCAGTGCATTAAGACTACCGTAGTATGAAAAGATGATAAGCTAATAGATTATTTGGGCTAATAGCCTTTAGCTTACTAATTTTTGTTGGAAACAACTTCATGTATGTTAAGGTAGGTATTCATTAGCTTTCACAAAATCCCAGTGTGCACATTTTCCTATTGTGAATAATTCTTAATAACCCAGGGACTCGTTCAGTAGAAGCATTGGATGCAAGTGGAGGGTTTGCTGCAAAGTCAGTAACTTGATGCAACAGCGTTTCATTAGCATTATTTTGGCAATTTATATTATAAATGATAGCATTTTTCAATAAAAAATATTGGATTAGACAATAAGTTGACTTTAATTTTACAGGCAATTTGTACTGTAGAAATAATTTATTTCTTGTGTGGATAAAGTGGCTTTAAGATCATACAGTGCTGCTATATCTATGAACTGAAACCAAAATATGTCTTATTCTAGTAAATGAGGAAAGCCTGTGAAAAACTTCTCTCTCCATGATGACCTGCAGTAGATTGTTACAGGTTGGTCAGAGGCAAAGAAAACTCAGTTTAATTTTCCGTTTTAAGGGCTCTAAATCATAGGAAATTTACAATGAAAAGTTTAATAAGTTTGAAACTATTTCCTTGGAGACTAAGGCATAACTTCTAATCAAATCCTTTATTGTCTTGTTCACTACAATCTTGTCTATAATTTCCCATTTGGCTTTATGGCCTCTAACACATTTCACCTTATGACCCTTTAAACTAGAGTTTTTAAATGAGTTGCTGTATGGGCCGGTAGGTGAATCATATGCTAAGTTTGGAAGTCCTAAACACAGCTGTCGTGAGTTTGGCTACTGGCACAAACCAATTGCTGCATGTCTTCCCCTCGCCCATCCACTTGGTTTCCAGTTTTTTAATTACAAATAAAATACAGAGGTTGCTTGTTTTAGTGAGCACATTGAAGATACATTTTCATGGGAAAGTCATATCTGATGTTATTGTGCTTCAGTATTTGAAATTAATTTCAGAAAAAGTTACAAACAGTACAAACAATTGATGCATATCATCTGGAAGCTATCAAGGATTAAAGAGTTGTTGGACCCTTCTGTTGCTGTACAGTCAGGAATAAAGAACACGGGGTGTTGAAGACAGCTGGAGTTGACAGAGATAAAAGTTTAAGAAATAATAAAAGCTCCAAACTTCTCCTGTTTTAAAAATACATGTATGTGTCCCAACAGTCTATTAAAAGTAGGAACAAGTCACGTTAGAAATCTGTTGGATAATATCATCTGTTAACATGAGTCAGGATATCACCAGTGAGTCATTGTGTGCTGCTTCTCCAGGCAACACTAAACCAGTTTATAGCTCAACCTGCTGTAGGCTTTTATAAAATGAGGAATAGCTGAAACAAATATTGATTTTGAAAGGGGTGCAGTTTCAGCGAGAGTTAAAAAGCAGACTGCTGATACTTCAGATGGCCATTAAATCTTGACAAATCTTCTGTACAAACCTCTACATCTGCTTTTCCTCCATCTGGTCAGTCTGCCTGTAAACTTGCTGAGCAATGCTGTGTGTGTCAGATATGATGAATCTCGCTCATTGCTCTGTGCTCTATGATTCTCCCTTAAAAAGCTGATCATGACCCATAAAACAGGCACTTAATTACTTACAGAACATTTTGTCCATATAGAATCACAAGCATTAATGTACCTTTTTTATGATTTCATGTGATGAAGCAACACAAAGTAATGCTTTAGCTTAAAATGGAAGAATTCAGTTTCATATCTTCTTTCATATTAAATATAAAACAAACAGTACAAACATTTGCCCTTTATTCCCCCCAAGTCCATGTGTTTGTACAACAACCATTTGCTAAGATGGTAGCTGCAAATCTTTTGACAAAGGCCTTGAACTGATTTTTTCTCCCAGAGTCATGAATGCTTGGACAAACTTCTTTAACAACTCACTTAAAATCACAGATTTAATTTAGAACATCTGCGAACAGCAGTTCTAATGTCTCATACAAGATATTCAATTAGATGTATATCTGACTGTTGGCTTCTGTCTTCTGTCTAGTCTACAACTGTCATAGATTTGCCATACTCTTTACAGCTAGTTTGACTAGACAATGTTCTGTAGGTTGTTTAAAATGTGGGATTATCTATTTTAAACCAAGATGTTCTTTGTAATTTTCCTTGGAGAGGTTCACTGTGTTATTTTCCTGGTCCTCTTGAGACTTTTTTCTAACAGACTCTTAAGACCCTCATAGATCACCTGGATTTATACTGACATTAAATTAGACAGACAGTTTCTAGATTAGGCAATCAGGGAAAGCTGTTTGCAGTATGTTTTATCAAGCGCTCCTAGAGAAACTGTTTTCCAATATTTCTGTAAAATAATTCAATTCATCCATCCAACCATCCATCTTCCTCCGCTTATCCGGGGTCGGGTCGCAGGGGCAGCAGCTTAAGAAGGGAGGCCCAGACTTCCCTCTCCCCAGCCACTTCTTCTAGCCCCTCAGGAGGAACCCCAAGGCGTTCCCAGAAACATAGTCTCTCCAGCGTGTCCTGGGTCTTCCCTCCACTTCACCAGGGAGGCGTCCAGGAGGCATCCTAACCAGATGCCCGAGCCACCTCAACTGGCTCCTCTCGACATGGAGGAGCAGCAGCTCTACTCCGAGTCCCTCCTGGTTGACCGGGCTTCTCACCCTATCTCTAAGGGAGAGCCCAGCCACCCTACAGAGGAAACCCATTTCGGCCGCTTGTATCCGCAATCTCGTTCTTTCTGTCATGACCCAGAGTTCATGACCATAGATGAGGGTAGGAACGTAGATCGACCGGTAAATCGAGAGCTTTGCTTTTTGACTCAGCTCTCTCTTCAACATGACGGACCGGTACAGCGCCCGCTTCACGGCAGACGCTGCGCCAATCCGCCTGTCGATCTCCCGCTCCCTTCTTCCCTCATTCGTGAACAAGATCCCGAGATACTTAAACTCCTCCACTTGGGGCAGGACACCCCCCCTGACCCGGGGAAGGCACTCTACCCTTTTATGGCTCAAGACCCTGGCCTCGGATTTGGAGGCACTGATCCCCATCCCGGCCGCTTCAACCTCGGCTGCGAACCGATCCAGCGAGAGCTGCAGATCACGACCCGATGAAGCCAATAGGACCACATCATCTGCAAAAAGCAGAGACGCAATCCTAAGGCCACCAAAACGGATCCCCTCAACACCTTGGCTGCACCTAGAAATTCTGTCCATGAAGGTAATGAACAGAATCGGTGACAAAGGGCAGCCCTGGAGGAGTCCAACTCTCACCAGAAACGAGCCCGACTTACTGCTGGCAATGCGGACCAGACTCTGACACCGGTCATACAGGGATTCAATTTAATTCAATTCAGTTTATTTATATAGTGCCAATTCACAACACATGTTATCTCAAGGCACTTTACAAGTCATTCAAATATGACTCTTTAACTTCTCAAAAATGTTTTTGGCATTGACATTCATGTTTTTAATGTGAAAACATTTGGAAATGTTCAAAGGGTTATAATATGTCCACAAAACATCTAAGTATTATCTTGGTAATAGTGGACAGATTTCTTATTTTAAGCAAAAGTTAGATTTTTTTTTATTATATATCTGTATATTTTGGGGGTGTAATTTTTTTAATGGTTTTAGGTTAAAAAAAAATACAAAAACCTTTTAAGCAAAACTCGTTTTCACGAATAAGTTTGTGTGTGTCCTTAGTGCCTGACCAGAAAGCGGGTCCAGTTTGTGTCGATCCTTTGAAAGCTGAGCGAGGATTGTTTCTCTGTGTGCTGCATCTTCTATCCCAGCATCCTTCAGCTCTCCATCCGTAACATACAGCAAACCCTGAAGAGAGACAACAATAAGAGCCAGCAGAGGAATTAAACCGGATTGAAGTGAGGATTCCATCTCAGCAGAAAAAAAAATGTACATCCCAGCAAGCAGTAACAGATACCTTTTGAACCTTTACATACCTCTAGACCATAATATTCACTCTCTAGAGTCTTGGTATACTGTGGCAGTTCAATCTGTCTCAGCCACCAGGCGATAGAGCGATTATTCATGTCTGAACAAACAGAAGAGAAAGGAAACTGATTACATACCAATACAAATGCTAACACACACACATGCTTTGACATGTTTCCACGCAAAAGAGTCTCTGAGAAAGACAAACGAAGGATTAGACTGACATCATCTTACTTTTAGAAAACATTCAATCAGACACTTAAGGAAGAGGTCTCTGTACTTTTTGGCTTTCAGGAGTAACATAATGTAACACCTACCTGTTTAAACCGTCCACTGTTGGGTGTTTCAATCAAAATATAAAATCTCTCTATGAGCTCCCTGCGAATATTTTTACTTCTTCTCCTATTTTCTTCCTGTTTTCTTTTTAACTGCTCCCATCTAACTTATCCCTGTCATACAGACAGCATTACTTTCTCTTTGTGGTTACAGTGGAGGCCTGCTCCCCCCTCAAACCGGCAGGGTCACCCAAAGGCCAATCAGATTGAACAGTGGGCACCCAGCACCCCAAAGAGATCAGCAAATCACCATGCAAGGATTAGAATAAGCTCCTTGGAGGTGGAGAGAGCAGGTATAGACATGTCAGCAGGGGGAGAAAAACAGGAGGAAGGCTTTTAAACGTTAGACTTGTCAGCATGTCAGGTCAGAGACAGGTATGCATCCACACTGGTGTGCCCTCCAAGCTGTCTATTTTTAAGGCAGTAGAAAATGACAGGGGAATGCGGTAAAGCTGCAGGAAAAACTGTTCTGTGTAAGAGGGACATCTAGTGTCATTGCTAACCATTGCACAGACCATTTATCTCATATTAAGCAAGAGGCTCAATATGCCCTGGACAAGATAATAGGACAGACGTTGTGAATACTCTCAGACCTAAGGGCAATTTCAATAACCCACCTGCTTCTTTTTAGAATAGTGGAGGAAGCTAAGAAACATTAAAGGTATATTGGAGAATTTTCACAAATTTTTGAAAAGACCCTCGCTCTCCACTTAAAAAAAAGTGCATTTTTAGCCTCAACCATTTGAAGCTGCAAAAGGCACACTAGGTACTTATTAACTGTATAAGTGAAAAGGATGTAGGAAAACTAGGTGAGGTTTTTACTTTAAGGACCTGGATTATCCACCTTTGTGTGTAAAACATTTAATGAGCTAAATAATATTGAGAAGTGCAGATTAACTGCAGTTATTATTACCCGTTTATGCAAGCAGATTTGGCATTTTAAAGATGCTTTTGACTTACCAACATGGGATTCTGTGTTCATTAGACCTTTTTGTAATTCTTCTTTACCTAAACCTTATAAAAATGTAACTTCTTAGTAAAAATGATAATTAAATTCCATCTTGCCAACAATTTTGCAATAAATAGTAGCTTTTTTTATTCTCTATTCCAAGTTCTGTACTATGGCAGTACAGAACTTGGTAAAACTTACTTTTAAAGATATTTTTGAAAATATGTAAAGCTACAGTGTCGGACTTCAGAATACAGCAACATCATAGCGACTCTATTGCAGCCTCACTTGTCAGTCAAATGTTGTGCAAATCACTGTGGGGTCCTCAGATTTGATAAATACTTACAAAAGGACAGGCCATATACAACTTACCAACTGTACAATTGTACTGTACTGTACAACTTAGCAGAAGCCAATAAGCTCCATAATCTATAGATTATGGAGCTTATTGGCTTCTGCTATGATAGAAAAAGATGATGGTTCAAATTCTAGCTGGGGCCTATTTGTGCAATTTAGTTTATTTTCTTTACTTGGATTCTTGAAGGTATAGTGGAGGATTTTTTTTTTCTGGGTGGATCTTCATAATAAGTGGTCCTCCTAATTGTCAATCATTCTGGAGATATGTTTATGTAAGGTCGTCCTGCGTGCTCGTCCCTATTTTCACTTACCGGTGGTGAGTCTGTCATAGTGGATAAATTGCAGTCTTCTTTTAGAAAGTAAGCTTGTATGAGTGATGCAAACAGCAACTTTTAAACAGAGCGTGCACGAGGAGAAATGGGCTTGTGCATGCTCTTGCACACATTTAATAAGCATTCCCTCTCAGGAGCGGGTACAGGGTTGTGTATGCACTTTTTTTTTAAAGTGGAGAGGGCGGGTCTTTAAAAAAATTAATGAAAATCCTCAACCATACCTTTAGGTCAGGAAACACAGTATTGTATTTTGTTGCTTGACATCTTTTGAACATAATAATCTTGGATTAGCACTCCAAAACCAAAAGCTAAATTACAGTTCTCTTTAGATATGATGCTGAAGTGGCACATGAAACTTACAGGTAACATACAAAAATCAGCATATCCTTCCTGCCGCATCCCCTGCAAGTTTGTGTTTTGTGGGTAACTTTAGATAGCAAATCAGCTAAATGTTATTTCATTGACCCCTTTAAAATTTAGAAAATTCTATTTCTTTAAAGTATTTTAATTCTCCCTATTTTCTATCTATTCCTAGTTTTAAACAAAACAAAATAATTCCGTATTTCAGAGTGGAACTAGGAGTAAGCACCCACTTGGTGGCGCCACCATTCTACTTTACTTGCCACTTGCTTGAAAGAAAAAAAATGTAAAAACATTGTTGGCTTATATTTTTATCAATTCATAGACTATTGATTAAGGAGAAAACCTTATCGAAACGAACTTATTTCTGTTTATAAGGAAAAAATATATATATTTTATTACAAGAAAAAATATTTGTCAGTGACAAATGAAATCCAAATAGAAGCAAAAAAAGAATCGCAGCACACTGAAAAAGATTAAAACAAGTTACAAGAACAGAAAACTGTAAAAGGCTATAATAAAAAACAAGGCCAAAATATAAGAGTGGACAATACTGTAAAATAAAACAAACACACTACAAAAAAAGATATAATATGTGGTTACCAAAAGAGCATTCTTAAGTTAAACATAAATAAGCGTGCAACATTATCAGGTAACATCCAGGAACATCAAATCTGCATCTCTTATTTTTCTTGAAGATAAAGAAAGAAGAACAAAACAACAAATGGCAGCAAGAAACCCTTTGAGAAGCTTGGATGTTAACAATTATTGAGCAGATAAAAATGTATTATCTTTTTTCCATTTAAGATTCATCATTCTTTCACTGGATGAGCTCTCCAGTGCTCCATCAGTTTTATGCATATGTAGTGGGGAGTGGTGGCATAGTAGTTAGGGCATAGAGCTTGGAATTCTGAGGTTCTGAGTCCAAGCACCACTCCCACAGACTGCCACTCTGGCTCACTGAGCAAGACCCTTAAACCCACACTGCTCCCCGGCGCCGCACAATGCCAGCCCACTGCTCCCCAAGGGAATGGCTTAAATGATGAGGTAAATTTCTGCAATGTGAGATAAATAAAGTTAAATTAGATCTAACAGCAATGTTATTTTTGCAACAGTTCTGTCAATTACGCTGTCTATACAGTAGGTGGCATCCTATAACAGAAATGACCCTCCTAATAGGTTCGCTAAAGCCTCTTCCTGTCAGTTTCTGCTATGAACATTCTTGTAAAGAGCATCAATGTTGTTACTCTAGTCTTGTTTATTGTTAGAAGAAAGCCATGATATTTGTAAGAGTCCAGTATATCAGTCAGAATCACAAAGTGCTTTAATGCCAAATAGGGTTTCACAAAAAAGAGGAATTAGTCATCACCATGAGGTGTTAAACACAAACAAGCAAACAAGCAGCTAACACAAAAAAATGGAAATACATAATTTGGTATAAACTAAGCCGCTTGTATTGGAAGATGGCAGTTGTGGGAGGTTATGGTCCTGATTGACTACAACCTTCTACCAGAGGGGAGGTGCTCAAACAGTTTGTGTCCAGAGAGGTAGGGGATTACAAATAGGAATTTGTGCAATCTTTCCTGCTCTACTTTTGGTTGTGGGCAAGAACAGCTTCTGAAGAGAAGGAACATTGCAGCCAATGAAATTCATTGCAGAGCAGATGATAAGCTGCAGCCTGCCCTTCTTCCTGGTGGTTGCAGCAGCATATCAGATGGTAATGGAGGAGTCCAGCAACTCTTGCCTAAAATTGATTACAGAATTCAATTAAATTCACATGTACTCTCAAGGAGATCATTACTAAATGTTTTTAAAACAGGGCATGACCACAGAAAATAATATAGAGAACTTATCTGGCATCATCTATGCTACCTCTAGCCAGAGATGTTTAAGTTTATTTGTTAAATTCATTCAAATCTGTTTATTTATATAGTGACAATTCCCAACATGTCATCTCAAAGCACTTTATACAGACAATTTAATCAAATAACACAGACAAACTGGTTTAAAGTTTTGTATCTAGGGAAACCCAGCTAGTTGCATCATCATTGCATCTATTGACTTTGCAGGATTCACTCCTGAATGAGCATGTGGTGACAGTCGATATTTGCTTACATTGTGTTGTTGCATCTGTAGGAATCCCTCACACTGAGCATGCGTGAAGCAAATGTAGAGAAGTTTTTTTTTTTTTTTTTTTTTTTTTCAAACAGGAACAATCCTCCATACAAGCTGCAGTAGGAGCAGTCTTCTGCCGAACCTGACTGGGGAGTTAAAAAAACACTTAACAGATTAACTCTGAGCTGGCTTTCATGTCAATAAGAATGAAAGAGAGCACATACAGTTAATCCCAGTAAAAGCTGAACCCATACTGTCTCAAAGGGAAATGAGAATAAGCCCTGAAAACAGGTCCAACTCCATCAACTCCATCTGCTGTATAACAGGAGTTGTTGATGGCTGTAGCCCAGCTGATGCCTCCCTCAGGGATGGTGTCACAGAAATTAGTCCGATATTTGCCAAAAAATGAATATTGGAATATATTGGCCTGCCTCTAGAACCTTCGATATTAGAAAGTTTATAGAAACAGTTCACTTTTATCTTCTTTCTCTCCCTGATGATATTAACTATTCTTCTTATTTCTTGGTTAGTGTGTATCTATAGATGTATTGTTCACATCTTCCTATATATTTATGCTCTTTGCTGTCTAGAATTTTTTCAATGAAGCCTATGCTTTCAGGACAAAGTGTTGATGGTTGTCCCAATGGTCAGAGCTGTAATTAGTAAAAAGTTGTTAAAAAGTTGTTTTGCTGGTGAAATAAAGAAGACATACATATTACTCAATTAATAAATATGTCCCTTTTGCCTGGTGTTATTTCCCCATCCCCAGAAAAAAGCAGTTATCAAATCGCTATTGTAAATAACAACATTTAGACAGTATAAGTTACTTCATCTAGAAACCACCAATCAAGCCGTAAATCTGGGTGTAGCGGTGGATTTAGACCTGAACTTCAGAGACACATTAAGACAATTCCAAAGTCAGTCTTCTAGCCTAAACATTACCGTAGGCATTAAAGACACATCATGTAACTTTTGGCCACTAGGGGCGCTAGTCTTGTAATTTTCACTTCTAGCTCCCC